CCTCAAATTTAGCATAGGTTGCTCTTGTCCCCTGCTTTTTAAGCCAGTAACATTTCATGTTCATGGTTACAGCTGATGACAGTACACAGCTTCAGCTTCCTGGGCCTCATCTACCTTCTCCTTCCAGTCCTGGTCTTATAGCTCCAAGTCAGTCTGTTGATTATAAAAAACATCCTCCCTCCTTGGAATAGATCGATACTTCTGACTCTTCCGCCGAATCTTCAGAAAGTCTGTCATGTGTCTCCCGGCCTTCAAACTCAATCACTGTGCCATAGCCACTAGTGGACAATTCAAAGAATGTATATTAAACGTCTACCATATACCCAGTAGTATACTATACCCAACAGTATACAATGACATATACTGAAATACAGTAGGTGATTTTTTTCCCTTAACATGCTTATCATCTCTCTGTGAGGATTGTTAATAATGCACAGGAAGCAAATAGAGAGTTGCATGGTACTAATTATTGAAGTTCAGAGAATTAACTTTATTGAGCACCTACTGTATTTCAGGTACTTTAAATGGAACACCTTATTTAATCCAGCAATGATATGAGGCTTGTGCTATTATTATTCCCATTTTACAAAAAAAGAAAGGAAACCTCAGGTTAGGTAACTTATGCATAAGGTCACAAAGAAATTAAGCAGTGGAGTAGGAATTTGGGGCCTACTGTTGGTGACTGTTAAAGTGTTCATTCTCTCAACTACTCTGACTTAAGAAATAGTCAGGGAAGGCTTTCTGGAGGAGGTGGGAATGCAGATAACCTTAAGGGAATAAGAGAATGAGGGCATTCTACACAAAGGGGAGAGTCTGAGTGCAGCACAGAGGCATGCCTGTAAGCCTGCTTGCTGGTGGACCTGCTTGACAGGAGCTGAGGAGATTGAGTCAGGAAGGCAGGGTGGGGCCAGATGACACCACACAGGAGCAGCTTCCTCCATCAGAAGGAAGAGGCTTCTCCTTGGCCTGTCCATTCCCTGAGAAAGCATCTCACACTCAAGCCCAGGAAATCCATCCAGAGAGCAACCCATGGCTCCTATGCCATTAAGCATTCTCTCCCATCCTAGGCATTGCTCCCCACCTCACCATCCTGAGACTGGAAGGCCCATGTCTGTCCTCTAGACCTCACCTGTGATGGTGGCTGCCTCCACTTGGCCTGTCAAACATCTTTTATACACATAACACCCTTCGGGAAACTTTTTCCTTTTCAGTTTCAAAACAGGAAGGAAATATTTTTCGAATTCTCAGTCCTGAAACAACACCCTGCTATTGGAACCCAAAGGTTCCAGTATGCCAGAGGTGAAATCCCAGAGGTTGTTATAATTTCTGAATTTATGCTCATAGGGTCAGAGTCTCCATAACGAATATTTCTAGAGGCCTTCAATTTGAGACTGCTAGGGTTTCACTTCAGGAGAATGTACCTGCGTAGCCTAGGAATCTTGGTCTTGCACAGAGCCAGCTCTCAATAGTGGGTCACTTAATGTGGAAACCCTGACCCCCAAGAAAACTCACAGCACCTACTGGGAATAATTCAGCACTGTGACCACAGCTTGGTGAGCTCTCCGAGTGAGGAAGCCTCAGCGAGGCAATGAAAAGCAACTCGGGCGACAATGGAAAAAAGGCAAGCAAGCGCCTTCCTGCCTGCCTGCCGAGCAAGTACTTTGCAAACAACAGTAAAAACGGAACGTGCGAACGCGTGACCAGATTGCATCGGTACCTTTCGGGACAACCTCACCGGGCCCCGAAAGGCGCGCCTCGGTGCAGCGCCTGTCCCACGGGAGAAGAGCGTCCCTTTAAGAGGGGACGGGACCAGCTGGCCGCCCTACAGCTCCCAGAGATTTCCTGGCTGGCCTCCTGGTCCCACCCCCGGCCCCCGCGCTCGGCCCTCAGCAACGCGTGACGTCAGAGGAAGCCGAAGCTGCCGATTGGCTGAACGACGCAGCTAGGTCAAGTCCAGTCAGAGGCAAGAAGTTTGTCTCCATGTGGAAACCATGTGTCTGCGGCGGGCGGGGGAGGCGAGGGGGCGGGGAGACCGAGATCAAGTGATTACAGGGGCTCCGGCTGAAGGCAGGCGGGGGGGCCGTGCACCTGAGCTGCCCGGCGGTGCCCTTTACTGTAGTGACCCCCCAACCCCCCCAAACTTGTTAAAACAAAACTTCACAGGACGAGGACGATGCTGCTCATCGGACAGCCGGGGTCTCTGCTCCGGGCGCAAGCCGGGGGCCTGGGAAACGCTGGGATCCTATCGGAACGCCCCGAGTCCCCCCCCTCCCCCAGCCGCCGAATGATGTCAGCGTTTCGGAAAGCGGGGCTCGGGAGCAAACAAGCCCCGCGCGCGCGGCGCGACCCGCAGTGCCGGAGCCGGCGCACCCCGGCCCCCCGGCTCGCGGCGGAGCCCACGCGGGGGCGCGGCGCGCATTGTGTGCGGCGCGGGGGCGCCCCGGGGGCCCGGCGCGGAGGAGCCCCCCAATAACCCAGGCAGATGTGGGGCCCGCCGTTCTCCGTATGGCAGACCCAGCCGGGGCGGGGGGTGCAGGGGGAGGGGAGAGTGGCCCCCGGGGGCCTCTGCTCCCCGCCGCGGGAAGAATGGGGGGCCCCGCGGAGGGCCGCCGGGACTTGGCTGGGGGTCGCCCGCGCCGGCGTCTGCTCCGGGGCGGGGGCCTGGAGCGGCGTCCCCGCGGCGGGCCCGGCGCAGCGCCCCACGCTCTCGGGGAAATCTGGGGGCGCTGGCATCACGTCATGCAGAGCCCGGCGGCGGCGGTGCAAAGAGGCAAGAGCTAAAAATACTCCCGCGGGGAGCCGGCCCGGGCGGGGGGCGCGCGGCCGCGGGGCCGGTTACGCGCGCGAAGTTGACTTTGCCGGGGCGCGGAGGTGCCCGCGCCCCCCGAGGGGGCGGGCAGGCCCGCGGCGCGCCCCGGGAGCGGGGCCGGGAGGCAGCCCCGGCGCCCGCAGCCCGGAGCCCGGCCGCCCGCCGCGGGCCCGCCCGCCGCAGCCCGGCCCTCTGCTTACGTGACTGGCGGCCACGCCGGAGCCGGCGCGGGGTAAACAAGGAGGTGGCGCGGCCCGGCGGCCGGGGGCGGGGGAGGCCGGGCCGCGGAGGGCCCCGATTGTCTGCGGGTGCGGGGGGCGGGACGCGGGGAGGCTCCCGCTGCCTCCCTCGGCGAAGGGGCAAAGCGCCTCACCGTGCCAAGGTGCCCTCTGGGGTGCACCCCCGGCTTGAGCCCGAGCCGCGGGGCGCACGGACTCCGGAGAACCCGGGACCCCGGCGGGGGGAGCGGAAGAAATCGCGCCCCTCCCCCTCCAACAAAAGCAAACACACCAAACAAAACCACGTCTGCACCCGGCTCCCCCCAGCTCGGGTGCTCAGAAACTGCCCTCCCCAGCGCCCCCCGCCCCCGGGAATCATCGCGCCCCGGTCGGCGGCGCGGCCCGCGATGCGCCGTTCACGCAGCCCCGGCGCTCGGGGCGGGCGGGGAGAGAGAAAGGACGCGCCGCCGGCCCCGGCCCCGGCGCGGGTTTTGCTCCGCGGCTTCTGCACCATCGCGCAGCCGACGCGCGGCGGCTCCGGCCCTGGAGGCCCGGGGTGTCGGTCAGCGAAGGTGTTTTTGTCTTTGAGGGCTGCTGTGGTGGTGGGTTTTTTTATTTGGGGGGGTTGCAAGATCTGACACGTTGCAAGTGGACCATTATTATTTTCTCTCTCTCCCTCTCGTCTCGTTGATCTTCCTACTTGTTCGGACAGATTAAGCAGCGCGGTTGGCTCTGCTCTGTCGGTCCATTCGCCGCGGCCCCTTTCTCTGCCCGCAGCTATTATTGGCGAGGACCGTGCTGGAGACACCGCACCCGCGTGCCCCGGGGGTTGGGGTGCCCCGCCGCCCGCCGGGGAGGCTTCGGGGGACCCGGCTGGCAGGAACAAAAATGAAACAAACAAATACAAGAAAGAGGACGGAACGGGGTGGGGCTCACGGCACCCCCTCCCCACCTCGCACCCCTCTCCACCTGAACCCCGGGAGGCGGGGTGGGGGCGGGGTGGCTGGGGCGGGTGGGGGGCAGCAGAAAGCCGCCGGGCAGGCGCTCGCCTCCCTCGCCCTGCGCGCTCGCCCGGGAGCTGCTTCCCGGAAAATAAAGAAACCGCACGCAGCAGCCCACACCTTCTCCCCAACTATTGTTTCCTGCGAGATCCCAAAGTTTCCTTCGAGCCGCGTCCCCTCGCCAAGTTTCCCCGGGCGCAGGACGGCGGTCCCGGGCGGGCTGCGGGCGCTCTCGGCCCAGCCGGCCTGCTGCTTTGGGGGGGCGGGGCACCCCGGGGCGCGGGGCGCGGGGCGCAGGGGGCCGCGGGCGCGCTGGCAGGAGCCCAGCCTGCCACGAAAGGCGAGAGAAAAGCGCAGCGGACAGGAGGGAGCAGCCCAGCCCGGCCAGCGCGAGCCCACGCCGCCGAGGGCTGTTGGGGGGTAGTTGTTATTGTTGTGTGTGCGCGCGCGTGTGTGCGCGCGTGTGTGTGCGCGTGTGCGTGTGTGTGTGTTTTCCTTCTGAATCCGCTCAGCTCTGCCTACGATTTCGAACTTTCGGCTTCTCATCTCCACCCCACCCAAGAACGAGCGACAGAAAAACAACACTTGTCTGGCCGCGAAGGCTCCGGAAAAAAAAAAAAAAAATTAAAAAAAAAAAGGGAAGAAAGGCGACCTCCAGAGAGGAGCTCTCGGCTCAGTTGTCAGCAAACAACAACACTCCCTCCCGGCCCTGCGCCTCCGCGGGGCGCTCCCCCAGCCTCGGGCGACCGACAGACCGACGCGCGCCAGGCCCCCGCTCCCCCCGCGCGTCTTTGTTACATCTTTAGCAGCTTTGTGCGTGCGTGTCCTTCCTCGGTGTCACCGGCTTCCCCGCCGAGGGCTGGATGTGGGTGTTGGGGGAAGGGGCGCGGGCCGGGCCGTCGCCCCGGATCGCCCCGCTGGGCGAGGAGGAGCGAGCAGGGCGCCGCGCAGGAGCCGGGCCCCCAAACTTACTTTTGTTTTCTTTCTCGATCTGCTCCAGGTAGCTGGCGGCCTCGAGCAGAATCTGCACGTTCTGCAGAAAAGTGTTGATGTGCTTCTCCATCGAGTTCTCGCTGGTGTTGAAAATGTCCGAAAAGGGGCACCTGAGCTTGGCCCCCGCGGGCTCCTCGGCCGGGGCCGGGGGCTGGGGCGCGGCCACGGCCGGGGGCGCGGCGGGGGCCAGCCCCGCGCCCTCGCAGCGCGCCTCCTTGCGCGGCCGCCCGCGTTTGCCCATGGAGCGGCCGGGGTCCGCCGAGCTCGTCCTCTGCTGGGGCCGCGAGGCCGGGTCGAGCTCCGGGCCCCTGGGGAGACCGGCTGGGCTGGAGCAGAGGCGGCGCCGGGGCGAGGAGGCGACCTGACTTCCCGAGCCTCGCTGCGTGCAGTTGTGTGTTGGCGTGTGTGTGAGTGTGTGGGTCTCGCTGTGTCGGTCTGTGTGTGTGGGAGATTGAATGAACCTACAGGACAGACGGAGGCGCTCTGGCGCCTGGGTCCTAGCGCGAGCCTGTCGCCATCGGACCGGTCAAAATAAAAGGTGGAGACAAACCAGGCAGGGACCGCCCCCTGCCCGCCGCCTCTCCCTCCCCCCCCCACCGCTCCCCAAACCTTACCGGTGTGGTGCACGGTGTTGAACCGTAATGGAAAAAACACTCGGTGCCTCTGAATGCACCTGCACGAAAACAAACTGCTGAGCTATTTTTTTTCTTCGCTTAAAAATAATAACCTCGCCAAGCATCCAGTGGCGCCAATGTCTGGCACGTATGTAGTATAGCCCCCCTCCCCCCATAAAGGTGGCTGCTTTCACTTTTTTTTAATGAAAGCCCAATCCAGGAAAACTATCGAATGTAACTGGAAGTTCTCCCAAACACACACACACTCACACACACATACACACACACTCCTACACACGCACGCATATGCACACACACACAGGCACTGGTGTGTACCTTCACACAACTAAAAGAAATCCCCAGGCCACCAGTCGGCACATTATAGATTTACTCACTCATTCTTTCTCCCTTCAAATGCAAAGTTATTTTCCAGGAAGGGGAGGAGATGTAAGCATCTCTCCATACTCTTCTTCATAGCCTTAGTCCAGCTGTGCAAAGCTCACACTGGGGTGCCTCCACACCTGGCTCCCTTTTATTTGACAGAGAGACAGAAGTGACAACCCAGGAACCCCACCCCCACCCCAGCTGAATTCCGCCTTTTGGCCTTTAAGATCCCTACCCCAGTTAACATTGTTCTCGATGCTGCTAACACCCAGTCAGGCCCGCAGGAGCTGTGGGTGAGCTCCAAACCAGGCAGATGGTTGTGGGATAGTTGAGGGCAGCAGGGGAGTGAGGTGGAGAAGGGTTAACTCCCAGCTCTGCTGTATACAGACTGTGGGCTTGAGCCCAGCCTCCATTGGCCTAAATGTTCCCATCCATGAAAACTCTGATAAGATTTTTGTGCTGATAAAATCATATCTGCACTTAGCACACTGCCTGGCCCCTAAGATCTTTTTCTACCAGTACAGATCCAGACAAGAGCCTGGATCCCCTCTACTTGCATCTAAGGGGGAAACAGCTGCAGAAAACAAGATTCTGCACTCGCTTGGAATACATCCTTGCAACAAGTCCATCTAAATATTGTCACCTTGCAAGGCTGCCTGGAGTTTTTACCAGGGGGACTATTTACATAACAGGATAAAGGCGCCCCCCCCCCCATATTTGTGCAGCCCAGTCTCTGCTCAGAGGCGGTTCCATGCACATTAGTCAGGAAGACTCTTACTGGAAATAGAAACCTTTAAAAAAAAAAAAAAAGTTAAGCACATTTCTTTGTAAAACACTGCGTAGAACTCGAGCACCTTCAAGAAAGTCCTATGCACTCTTAGAATATAATAACCTGCTACTGATACGAAGGAGCAGCCAGTAATCGGCACTTAAAAGCCAATGTAGCCACATCTGGGCCCATAATATAGTCAGACTACACATACTCTGTTCATTTTCCATCTTGTGACAGAGTTTGCATGGCTGATCTCTGCATCCTTTGGTTGGGGTAGAGGCCTCTAAGAGCCTTGAGATATAAGTTCACCTTCTATTATCAGAACAATCACTGACTTTCTGTTCCTGTCTCAACCACAACCTGAGTTGTTGGTGCTTTAAATATTTAAAAGTCTATAAACATGGAAAGCCTTTAGGAAAGTACAGTTTCCAAGTTTCCAACAGGTTTTATCCAATGCCATTTTGCAAAAACTGGCATTTATGTGAAACAGCCCTGATCTCCCTGGCCCTCAATGAAAGATGACAGCAAGTGAGATGATGACCCACCTAAGTCCAGAGGAAACCTTGGTGCCTATTGAGGTCCCTGGTGGGGACATGGGCCAAATGTACACACATGCAGTACTCTAACCTACATGTATGTACATAAACACCCACCCGGACAGACACACCTGCACACGAGTATTGGATCTGTGGTGGGGTGCTTTGTCATTATTTGTTTGCCCTTCCCTATTTCATCTCTCATAGATCTGAGAGCTTCAGAAAGCCCAGTGGGAATCTTCAAGCTGGGCCACAGATCTGACCAAAGCCAAAATAAACAATGGCTTGAAGAAAATCTACAAAAAGTGCTGATTTGCACTATTCCCACAGTGAACCACAGCCTCCACCGTTATTCCCATGGAAAACACCACTGTTGGTGCCAAATCAAGTTCCCCCCCCATCATAGGGGCATTGTTTTTTGTTATTATGTGAGTTCTTAGCATCACACTATGGCACCACAAGAGATACAGTGGAGACAGGAGAACTGCCATTTTGTTCGACAACGTCTGTGCTATTGTGCTCGAGGCCCACTTACAGTCTAGTTTGCATATATTCATTTTGGTAACATGTATGTGGAACCATGGATGTGCCAAGCTAAGGTTCAACCCCCATCAAGTGTTAAAACATGTGAACATCATAGTGCTCTCTCACTGACCCCTCCACCCCATACCCCAATTAACAGATTTCTCTAGTAAAGTTGGCCCCATCAGAAAGAGTGGTGTTTCAGCCTTGTATCATGGGCCAGGCATCCAGGATACTGAGTTACAAGCTCGGTTCCATTCCCAATTAGCTTTGCTTCCCAGGAGGAGCTTTTGCACCTCACTTTGTCCAGGGTTTTAACTCCATAAATAAACAGACCTCTGGAAACTTGCTGAGACATTCTGCAGAGAACAGGTAAGGAATGAGAACGCAGCCGGCCTGATGAGAGCATATAAACTCTTTGAAAACCGTGCCCAGGAAGGCAGCCGTGATGCTTCCAAGGGCCCAAGATACTTTGGGTACCCACTCAGCCTGGGTCTTACTTTCCCAACCTTCTGTTTCTTTGTTTGGCCTATTTGTTTGTTTGGTGATATTTTTCCATCAATCTTGTTTGCATATTAAAACAAGATCACTCTCTCTTTTATTTGTCCCTCTCTTCCCTCAGACATTCTATACTCTTAGATCAAAGGAGTTGTTTTGCCTGTAATTATGTCTTCAGGTACACAGAGGCTGGTTAATTACTGAGAAGGGGATGAGAGTGTTGCCCCCAGACCTCTTCACGCTGTGTTCAGATAGGGCGCCCTTCCCTGTCCTGAGCTGTCACCACTCTCCTGTGCTCCTTCCTTAGCCCTCTCTTCTCCTTACACATTCTTCCCTCTCTAGCTCTTCCTGCTTAAGTCCAGCTTCTAGCTTTTCCTTGGACCTTGCCAGCACAGCTGGGTCAGGTTCTTCCCTGCTTTTTGACCTGTGGTCTTTGCACCCAGGCTTGGTAAACACCACCAGGAGATCTCCTGCCTTGCCACTTGAACCCTAATCTCCAGACTTCCCTAGTCAAGCTGTTCCTGGGCATCTTTCCCTTTGGAGAGAGATCACCTAGCAATGAGCTGAAGAGCTGGCTCAGAGCTACTTCTCTTGGGGAGCTTTCATCGATTAGAAAAGAGCCAGGGGTAGAGGGTTTGGACATTCTTGTAAGACACCAGCAGAATGGCAGGAACCTGGAGAACAGTGGGATCTGCCTCTCCCACTGGCTTCTGGCACAGCGTTGAAAGTGCTGACCAGGCCTCCTTCAGCCACTCCCCATGCCCCTCCTCCACCCACACAATCATCAGCGAGTGTAGACAAGGGCAGAGGATAAATAGCCTCCACCCTACACTGGAGCACGCCCGGGTGTCACCTGCTCCTGGGGCATTATCTCTGCTCCTCTGGACTCTGGCCCCCACTTCTCCTGCACTCCTGAGGCTGGCAGGTCCTTCCAGTCTCAGCCAATTCCTGGGCTTCTCCTATGCACCGCCCATAACTTTAGACTGTGGGCAAACCTCACTCTTCCTGGCATCTCCAGCCCCTGCCACCCAGTGCAACACATGCATAGCACAAAATAGGGCCTTAGGCCATGAGGTGAGAAGGAACAAACACCCTTTCCCATCTGGCTGGGTCCTCGGCGCTGGCCCTTCATGACTCTCTCACTCCAGCACGACATGAAGAGGCATTTGACACTATCTGCAAAACTATTCCTGAGTCACTCACATTAAAGTTTAAATATTGAAATGCTGTCTCTGTGGAGATGCCAGAAATCCATTGAGCCAGATGGTTGAGGTTCCCTTCCCAAAAAGTGCAGAGACTCAGCTGTCCCTCCCCCTGTCCTTACTGGCCTGCAGATCTAGTAACAAGATGGGTCTCCTGTGTAATAAGATGCCTCTGATGGAGAATTTTAAAAAATCACCGGGCAATGAAGGCATCATCCTGAGACCAAATTGGAAATCACACAGAGTTTTATTTTTTCTTCCTCTTCACATTTTCTCATTCTAGGATGTCTTGGGGTGTGGGGGCATCCCTTAGACCCCTAGTTTTTTCCATATCTCCAATATTTTTTTAATGAATCCAGCAAAAATTCTAAATCCATATATGTTAAGGTACCATGGATTGACACCAGCTTAAATATGAGCCTTCCCAGAAGCATTTGGAATTAAAGAGGGCCAGTGTTTTAAGTTAAAGGAATGAGTTTCTACTGGTAAGGTGTCAGGCATTGGAAGGGAAAGGTAGTATGTAGGTTGCAAAGGATCTTCCCTCCTGATTATTGGTGGCTGAACTTGTGTGAGTCACTTAATCTCTGGGACTCTTAGTTTTTTCATCTATAAAGTGGGAAGAGCAAAGCTTGCCATGCTGAAGGGGTATGCCGAGAGGGACATGGGAGCCTGTCTGGTGGTGTGCCTATGTCAGGATATATGAGGCTAGGAGAATCCGAAAGATTTTCTGGGAAAATAAAAGCAATGACTAACAAATGGGAACAAGAGTTAAAAGCCCAGCATTTGGGGACCCTGTTGCACTTCGCCATTATGAAATTCTGGGTCAATGATCTTGCCATCTGCAGCATCCGTGTCTTTACTTGTGAAGGGAGCATTCCATGGCTCACAGGCCACCTCTCTTCTCCACTCCAAAGGGCACCATCA